CTTGTGTTACAGGCAGAAGTAGGATATGACTAGTTATCTATTGCTGTGTAACAAATTGTCCCCCCACCAAATTTGGCCATTGAAGATAAACATTTACTATATCAGTCAGAAATCAGTCAGAAATGTGGGTACAGCTTAACTGAGTGCCTTTGGCAGTCTCTCTCACAAAGCCCTAATTAAGGCCTTGGCCAAGCTGCCGTGATCTAAAGGCTCTGCTGGAAAGATGCACTTCCAAGCATTCATGAGGGCTCTTGGCAAACTCTGCCCTTGCTGGCTATGGACAGAGACACAAATTCCTTGGCAGACTGGTCTCTTTATAGGGTTGCTTTCAGCATGGCATATACCTTCCTTCAGAAGAAGCAAGAGAAGGAACCTATGACAGAAGACAGTTTTTTGAAATCTAATACTGGAAGTGATATCCCACCACTTCAGCCAAATCTAGCCCAAACTTAAGGGGATTACTTAAAGATGAGAATACTAGAGGATGGGGAATTATTGGCAGCCATCTTGGATGCTCCCTACCACAAGCTGTAGCTATCATTCTTTTTTTGTGGTGTTAGGGATTGAATCCAGGGCCTCCTGCATGCTAGGTAAGCGTTCTACCACTGAGCTACATCCCAGATCCAGAAGCTATGCTTTTACATTCTTTTTTAAAATTTATCTACAGCAACTTGTACTGGACAGACTGGAATAGAGAAGCACCTAAAATTGAAACATCTTCTTTAGATGGAGAAAACAGAAGAATTCTGGTCAATAAAGACATTGGATTACCCAATGGTTTAACTTTTGACCCCTTCTCCAAACTGCTCTGCTGGGCAGATGCAGGTAATACTGATGGAATGCAGATATATAACCCTATGTTATAGTGGGGATGTATACTGTGATAGATTTCATTAAAAAACCCAAATTTTGTCATGTAGATCTTTTGAGTTAAATTTATAACAGTATAACAATCTGTTTGGTCTATAAACTTTTAAAGAACATTTTGTAATAGTTCTTATTATGAGCTTGGGGGGGTGAGTTGGATTGGGGGATGCTGAATTAGACAGTAAGTCTCTGCTGTTTAACCTCAACATGGGCACCTGGCATACTTCTCAAGCTAAAATATTAGCCACTGTTGAACTGACAAACTTGGATAAACCAATTAAGGTTATTCTGCCTTTTTAGGGGGCCAGTATTACAACTTAACACTTGTTGCTTTAATAGTATCTTATGCTGAAAATATTGAAAAGTGAGGTGGCAGAATAGCTTCCTTTCAGTAATACTGAAATACCTGGGATATACCCAGATTTATCTATTTCTGTTGTGTGCTTTTCTTTAGAATAAATGAAATATGCTATGTACCTAGTTCTGTAAAGAATATGGAAAATATTATTCTTGAATTTATAATCTAATAAAAATGACTATAATGCAGACAGGTCATTTACAATCTAATTGTCTAAAAACATTATTTTTTTTTCATATGATGATAAACTCAACATTTTATTATCTTCATAACAAAACAAACAATGAAGCTTAGAACTGGATCACTTGGCCCTTTCTCTTCTTATCTTCTCCCAGTTCAAAATGCTTACATCTGTTAATAGTCACCATTCTCTTAGATCTGCAGTTAGGCTCAACACACTTAAATCTCAGCACAATCTTCTTTGTAGTTTTAGCTCTTTTCCCGAAAATTTGCCTAGTCTGCCCACCATACCCACTTTGTTTCCTGTCATAATGCTGCTTTCCCTGTGCATACGGAGAATCCTTGCCCTTCTTCTATTGTGTCACTTTTTTTTCTTGTACTTTGTTTTTTTTATTTTACATTACAATTCTTAATATACCATTATACAATACTTTATCATATCTCTGATTATATATAAGGTATGTTGACACCAAATTCATATCTTCATACATGTATTTTGTATAATGAGAGTCTCCTTTCACTATCCATGCTATTGTGTCACTTTTTGGAGGTTGGTGTTTGCCCCACTTCTTACAGAACATATGTCAGGTCCTAGGAACGTTCACCATGTTTGTGGAAGCATTATCAGCAAGGAAAGCTGATTGTATTGTAAAAGTATTTGGGATTTAAATTTCTTGAGAAATGTGAAATTTGGAAATTCTTGCAATAATTTAGCTGTTGGGAAATTTTCAAGACTGTTTTGTTTACAATGAAAAATAGCTATGTTACCTTTTTCTTGTACCTAGAAAATAACATTCTTTAAAAACATTTAAGGATTTTTTTTGTTAAGATTGCCTTGGCTATTATACCCTTTACACTTACTTTATGAAGGTTGAACATTTAACCAGATGTTAAATATACAACAGTTCATAGGCCAAGGCTTAAAACTATAAGTTAAAAAAAAATGCTCATCTCTACTGACTCACTTTGGAAGAAATTTAGATTTCAACAGATCTCTTTCAAAACACAAAACAAAACAAAATTAAAACAACAACAACAACAACACTAGGTTTCAATTTCTATTAGAAACTAGAACCAGGTGCAATATGGTGCATGCCTGTAATCCTAGTGGTTTAGGAGGCTGAGGTGAGAGGATCACAAGTTTAAAGCCAGCCTCAGCAACTTAGCAAGACCCTTTCTTAAAATAAAAAAAATAAAAAACAGCCTGGGGATGTGGCTCAGGAGTTAAATGCTGGTACAATCCCTGGTACAAATGAACAAATGGGAGACTAATGATAGAATATAATGCAGCTGCTAATTTGTATGACTAGAAATGGGAATAAAATGTCCATTTCCTATTCTGTTTTCCTTGAGAAGGAATCTGCCACTATCATATTTGGCAAAATAGCCTTTGTTTCTGCATGGTATGAAAGGCTCTCATTTCCCCCTTTGTTTTAAAAGGAACCAAAAAACTGGAATGTACACTACCTGATGGAACTGGACGGCGTATTGTCCAAAACAACCTCAACTACCCCTTCAGCATTGTTAGCTATGCAGATCACTTCTACCATACAGATTGGAGGAGGTAAGCTCAGCACATTCTGCCTGAAAAGGCAAATGGTTCTTGAGATCACACTTGACCAGTCAGTGAGTTACTTTGGTACTTAAGCCCTCTATTGAGGTTTTTCATTATTTCCTCATTAATAGTTAGTGCTTTTGAAATAATGCTTTTACTTAACCCAGAAATTTAATGTTATTGACCACAGGTAGCTAAAAGTGGCAAAGATTTTTTGGTAGTATCCTATTAAGAAGTAGGCATGATTATTTAAATCTGTTCCTCAGAGAATAGGACTAGCCTATGTGGTACCATAAGGTAGTTATCAAGTATTGGGTTTTTAGGTTTGTTTTGTTTTTTTAAATATTATAAACAGTCTACCTAGGACTTGGGAAAAATACTATTTAGACTATTCTCAAATGAGAATCTGGGAAACATTTAAAAAACAAAACATCTACGTTCTTTTACCCCATCACCTACAATTTTGATTTAATTGGTCTGGCATGAGATCCACACATCAGTATTTTAATAGATCCTCATATGATTTTAAATGCAGCTAGGACTGAAAACAACTGATTTAGACCAGTGGTTTGCAAACTTCAGTGTGGCTTCAATATCACCCCAAGGGCTTATTTTAAACATATTGCTAGGTCCCATCCCAGAGTTGGAGTCAGTAGGTTTTGGGGGCAGTCAGGGGAGAGGTGCCAGGGATTTTTATTACCTGTAAGTTACCAAATGATGCTGGTTTGGGTATCACCTCGAAAACCACTGGTATTAGACAACTCTTCCATGAGAAAAAAACTCACTTGGTTAACTTGATTTAAATAACATATTCTAGGCTTGCAGAGATTTCTCTACTTTATTTAACTACTTGTATCTTTTTATCTAGTGACTAAATCTCCATTAATTCACTCTTCCTTTCTTTTGCCAGGGATGGTGTTATATCAGTAAATAAAGACAGTGGCCAGTTTATTGATGAGTATCTCCCAGAGCAGCGATCTCACCTCTATGGGATCACTGCAGTCTACCCCTACTGCCCAACAGGTAAATGAACACATTTAGGATGCCCCTTTGAATTATCAGAAGGGATTACTGATTACTCCTGCTGCCAATGACATTGCCAACACTGCCATCTTTACTACCTTAAGTCTACCTAGCATAACGATAAACAAAATGAAAAAGACTTGGTCTTGCAACTTGGTTAAAAATTCATCACTCTGCCCTCTTCCCTCACAGGAAGAAAATGAACATGAAACATAAAGGAGGACTTAAAGTTTACAATCAGAATCTTGACCCTGAAGAGCATTTACTGAAAAAGGCAAAGAAAGTGAAAAAGGAATTGGCCATTAGAAGTTTCTGGACATACAAGATGAACATTTTTAATGTAAAAGACTATATTTTGTGAAAAGCTTATACCTCAATCTTTACTACTGTATTTTTAAAATCAAAGGTTGTTATTGCCAGTTCAAAAAAAGTAATAGAATTTTAATTGTTGCTTTTTAAAGCAACTTTTTGTAAACATTTGTGTCATATTTAAAAGGCAAATTCATAAAACTAGGAACCAATTAGAGTTAAATCCTCTAAATCTGATTTTTGCTATGGATTCTTTCTGGCCAGGAAATTAAAGCACATGCGATCAGTATAAAAATACAATCAAAATACAATCCTAAAAAATCAACGTAGATATAGTTATAGAAGCCTATGCAGAACTGTGGGAAAGACCAACTTATTTATAGTTTCCCAACAAAAGTTCTAAGACTTTTTTTTTTTTTTACCTCTGCATTAGTGCATTTCTATTTATATTAAAAGGTGCTAGAATGATTGTATTTTCTGATCCCATAAGTGCCTCTACAGATGTGACCACCAAAAGTACTACATTTATAAATACCAAAGATGTAGCAGTTCTCACATTTTCTAGATTACTCTAATAAAATTTGTTTTCCTACAATTTAAGGATCTATACTGTCTGTGACAAGGTGGGGACTGGCATGCATCTCAACCACAAAGGAGTACACATTAATTATACAAGTACATAGTTTAAAAAACAAAACAAAAAAACACTCCACTTTCCCAAACTTTATTAAAGAAAAAAAGCAATGGTGGTAAATCTCTAGAACAGTCAATTTTCTGGGATTCCTCCCTTGAAAATGTGACATTTGATTTCCAAACACATGCCAGAAGTGTACATGGTTCCCAATTGTACTAAGTAGGTAAGAAGCTAAAATCCTAAAGTGTTCATCTTCCAACTTTCCCTAGTCTGTGGTCTGTCTTTGGATCAGCAATAATTGCCTGAACAGCTACTATGGCTTCATTAATTTTTGTCTGTAGCTCTCTGAGTTCTTCTATATGCAGCAATCGCAGAATCTGGGCAGCTTCATTAAGAACTGCATCTGTTTTGTAAGGAAAAAACACTGCATCAATACATAATTGTTGCTTTTAAGACTATTTATTCATTTTTAAGAGTCTAAGAAGAGTTTGAATTAAAACAAAAGTCACATACCTCCCGTGTCAAAGCCAAGAATATGTTTGTCTAGAGCAACAGGCAAGCCCTTAAAAAAAAAAAAAATGACAAAATGAGTTTACAGTTAAAAATAACTGCTTCTCATAAGAAACTGTAAAAAGCTGCTATTCTGCTACTTTCAGCTGTAATGGTCAGGGGCCTAAGAATCATTTGCTGAAATCTGCCTTGCAATTACGTTTTTCCCTATTACAATAACTAGAGAGAATAGCTTTAAATGTACTGGAAATTCTACAGCCCATTCAGGCCTTTAGACCAGGCTTGTAAACCAATAAATCTTTGGCAGGCAGTATAGCTCAGTGGTAGAGTGCTAGCCTAGCATGTGCAAGGCCCTGAATTCAATCCCCAGCACTGCAAAATACTGCAGCAGTGTTTTGTCACTACTGCTATGGAAAGACAGTTGAACTGGCTGCTGTTGTTCCATTTAGTTTCAAAGAGTGTTAGCGTACAGGCAAATGGGATAGGAATACCTTTAGTATTTTCTCCAGGAAAAATAGTTTTTCTTTTAGCACATTAATTTTGGTGTTTTCTTCCCCCCAGTAGTAGTGGGGATTAAATCCAGGGCCTCACACATGAAAGGCAAGTACTGAGTTACACCCCACTAGCCGCGCCCCCCCCCTTTTTTTTGGAGACAGGGTCTCACTAAATTGACGATTAGCCTCAAACTTGTGATCATCTTGTCTCAACCTCCTGAGTAGCTGGGGTTACAAGCATGTACCACCACACTGGCTTTTTCTTTTGTGAGATGTCTAGCTATATTGCCCACACTAGTCTTAAACTTCTGGACTCAAGGGATTCTCCCGAGTGCTGAGACTACAGTAGTGTACCACTATGCCCAGCTTAATTTGTCATTAAAAGTGCACAAACCTAAAAATATGCTGTTTTTGTTAAGCCAGCATTATGTTTACAAGAGTATTTACATAATTAAACTTTCAACAGTTTATCTGGAAGGAAAAAAAAAAGCATTTAACTAGTCAGCACCAACATATAGATAGACCAAAGATGACAACTACGATGATGCTAAATTGTAGACTTCACAATAACTATCAAAAATGATGCCAGGGCTTTTTTGATTATATTATATATAATCATTACTAGTAAAACAACAAAACCCAACTACCTATACTTTCAATGTTGCTATGTAAATACTTTAGTCACTGCTCAATTCTTACCTAATCTATTAATGTACAACTACCTAGGTACTATCTGCTTTAAAGTAGCTAACAAACAAGATATAAAAGTGACAAAACAAATGGGTTTGAAAGTATAGTGAGCAAAATAAAGAGTGCAATTGTACTGAGTGGCTCTGTCAGTCTGGTACCAGAGGCTGGAGTTTTCCTTCTGTCTGCCAACAGACCACTGAGGAATAGCTATCTGTGAAAATTATGCCTTAAATACTAGTTATGAATACTTACAAAGACTAAACTATAAGAATTTCTCTACTATGTCATTATAGGCTGGTATCTTAAGACGACACTAAAACTAGAATTTGGAGCACTGAAAATAAAACTAAATTTTACTTTGCAAACAAGGGCAAAAAGATTTGGCTATTCCTTTATTCACACTGCCTTCCAAACTAAAGACATAGTTTTGCTAAATGAATGATTACATTATGCCAGAACAATTTACTATCTGTTCTATAGAGTGAGTGAAATAAGCTGATTTTTAGCCAAGTTCTACTGGCCCCATTCATACATAATTAAGTCAAGAAAAACCTAGAGAATAAAACTGAGGATCTTTCATAAAGGACTACACTGCCCTGGTGTAAGTAACCTTTTAACACTACTGGGTCTTGCTAAAGGGGTCAGAGGACAAAAGACATCAGAGGGGAAAGGAGACCAAAGTCCAGAATGGTAGTGTGCCCAAGGTATTCACTGCAACATCTATTCAGTAGGACGGAACTGTCTATAGAGACTATAGTTCCTCCTCTAACTCCTGAGGACATTCTCTGCACTATCTCATGGTCAATAAACTTTAGGAATGTTTGGATTTCTGATAGTTAATTAAAAAAAAAAAATCCCCAAAGTATTCTTTATGTATAGGGAAGATATACTGAATAAAATGATCCAGGAATAGAACTTATCTCAAAAAAGAAAATTAACTGGTAACTGAAGATATGCCCTTTTATTTTCTACTATGAATCAAACAATCCAATCCTTCTCAATGAACTTAAATCTTTTTAAATGAGCTTCAACTGGGCATGTGCAGTAGTCTGCAGACTGCACACAAGCTTTTAGAACTTTTCTAAGGTAGAAAAGAGGATAAAAATGAAGTTCATATATTACTCAACTGATTCCCAACAACTGGATACACTGAATTTGCTTAAGAACTAAACTGAATCACAATTAAATATGAAATCCTTTCTTTATGCTATTTAACACAGAATGAATATCTTAAGCAGATATTTACAACGTTTAAACTCATAGCTATATAAGAAGAAATTCTCACTAATAATTGATTTAGTATTTATATAAACATACCTCTTT